TGGTTCAAAGATGTTGAAATACCTGTGTCCTTCCCCCCTCCCCTGAGTGTATATACTCTGCCTCTTGGACAATCCTATCATGAGCTCCGGAAAATATGCTACGTAAGGTATTTTCAGCGTTTCTGTGCCAGATGACACAGAGGAGCTGTTAAGCAGGCATTATTGGCCCCATAGGAAAGGAATTGTCTTTGATCCATCTTTGCAGTCTTCTAAGAATCTGTGACTGATCACTTCATGCACTTTTTCCAGGTCCTTTCTAAAGAGTGTGTAATCTAATAACAGCAGTCTGTATCGTGAGAAATTGTTTGGTTGAACTCTGTCCCCAGGACTCTCTGCTACAGCCCCAGACCAGTTCTCTATAAAGCTTTGATTGAATGCCCTAAGACTTACCTCCAGATGGAGTCCTCAAATTCTAGTTAAGAGCAAGCACTTCCCAGATTAACCCAGGAAGGAGAGAGACTAAACTCAGCCTACCACAGGGGCTGACTGGAGCGCTGGTCTCCCTCAGTGGCTTGGTTGTCAGGCTTACAGCGCGCGTGTGCTCTGATACTGCAACTTTATCAATTCTTCTGAACAAGATGGGGCAAGTCCCAGGCCAAGCGTCACTGACTGAGTCATGTCTACAGCGCTCAGGGCTTTCCCCGCTACTGCAGATTTCTCCTGGGAAGAGCTATTTAGAGTGGTGCAAGTGGGACAAGGGAGCGTAGTTAAGAGCTGAGCAATGCAGACTATCAGAGCTTCCATGCTCAAGCTCACTGCCTAGCATTTGACAAATGCATGCGTACTCCCAGGGTATTAGCTGGACATTGTGATGTTAATGGAATGGAACTGTCATTGAATTACTGCCTTGAGTAGCTGAAAGCTGAGAAACTCTGTTTCCAGATGCATGTTGTGATTCAAAAAGTAACTGTGTGATTCTGAACTCATTGGAATTCGTTTTGCTGATTTCTGCAGGATTAGTCATGGCTGAAAGTCATGCCCCTGCTTGTGCAACTTGCTGAGTCGGACAGAGAGGTCAAACGGCAGCAGCCGGAGGAAGAGCTGGAACAGAACTCAACTCCTGTGATTAATAGGCCTGTCTCTGCTGAAAAGGCCTTCCCACCCCATCCATTGCAAGAAACCATCCGAGTACACTGTCATTCCTGGATTAGTTAAACATTTTTCAAATGGCTAATATAACAAAGTAGTTCCAGTCAAGTTCTCTAACTCAGTAATTGCCGTTGTGTCTGGTTCGTAATTCCTCTCTTCTTCCCCATAGAATCATAGAGTGCTTTGGGATGGAAGGGACCTTTAAAGGCTATCTAGTCCAAGGCCCCTGCAATGGGCAAGGACATCTTCAACTAAATCAGGTTGCTCAGAGCCCCATCCAGCCTGGCCTTGAATGTTTCCAAGGATGGGGCATCTACCACCTCTCTGGGCAACCTGTTCCAGTGTTTCACGACCCTCATTGTAAAAAATTTCTTCCTTATACCTAGTCTGAATCTACCCTCTTTTAGTTTAAAACCATTACCCCTTGTCCTATCGCTACTGGCCCTGCTAAAAAGTCTGTTCCCATCTTTCTTGTAGGCCCCCTTTAAGTATTGAAAGGCTGCAATAAGGTTTCCCCACAGCCTTCTCTTCTCCAGGCTGAACAACCCCAGCTCTTTCAGCCTTTCCTCATAGCAGAGGTGCTCCATCCCACTGGTCACTTTTGTGGCCCTCCTCTGGACCTGCTCCAACAGGTCCATGTCTTTCCTGTGCTGAGGACCCCAGAGCTGGACGCAGTGCTCCAGGTGGGGTCTCACCAGAGCAGAGGAGGGAGGCAGAATCAACTCCCTTGACCTGCTGGCCACGCTTCTTTTGACGCAGCCCAGGATACAGTTGGCTTTCTGGGCTGTGAGTGCACATTGCTGGCTCATGTCCAGCTTTTCGTCTATCAGTACCCCCAAGTCCTTCTCAGCAGGGCTGCTCTCAATCCCTTCATCCCCCAGCCTGTACTGATATTGGGGATTGCCCCGACCCAGGTGCAGGACCTTGCATATTATAGTCCTTCTATGGGAAGAGATGACAGAGCCAACAGAGTATCCTGAATCGCTGCTGGGTTGCCAGTGCACAAGGGCAAACCACCCTTGAGCAACATGCCAGCCTGGCCAGTCTCAAGTGGACGCTGTTGTCCTCTGTCTCTGAACTTCCCCCACTGTTCCCTTTTTCTCTGACATGGCAGTCTGAGCATTTTGTTCTGAGCTAGAAAGGTTGGCTGTCCCTTGGTTTATGTAAAGGGGTGGGTGAATAACACATTAGCCCAAATGGCACAGTTGGAATACAAGTAGGGTTTGTATATATTGTGGAAGTTTGTCCTTCTGCTTGGTAAAATATAAACTTGCCATAACTTCAAGCTTATTTCTCCACTGGGGCTCCAGATTCTTTGATTTCTTGTAGCCATTTGATTCATGAAAAAGGTGAAAATAGTGACACTGGGTCTATGAAAAGGTGTAAGGACTTAAATTGACCATGTGAATGGTCCTGTTGATCTCTTAACTGCTTATGTATATAAAGTGTTTTCAGGACCAAAACCATAGGTGAAAAGTCCTCATTCCAGTCACTGACAATTTTCAGTTGATGAAACATTGCTTTGTCTCTCGCATCAAACAGCTTTGCCGAAGTAAATCAGCAAAGCTTCCACAAATCACTAAGAAAAAACAACCTCAGAAATTCTACAGGCCTCACAATCCCACAATTTATGATACAATACTAAATGTTATTAACTAAAATGTAGTAACTTAGATCCAAAATTGCTGTAACGTACATGCTATTATAAATATTTCAAAGGACATAGTCATTTACTTTATTATTTTGATTACCCTTTTTCCAGAAAGTCCAGGTTTACTTTTTATTCTGGAAAAAATGCTGGTTTTTTTTCTTTTTTCCTTCTAAAATTCTCACATGTGATGAATAATTAATTTAAAATGTTTAATTGTATTTAATATCTGTAAAAGATATCCTACCAGGCAAAATAAATCTAATATGCATAACTTTATGTATATATTTCTGACAGGTTTTCTTTGTATTTGCAGCCCCCCCTTGTTAATCTGAGAGGTGGGACAGCAACAGTGCTACATTTGTATTATTTATGAATGTAAGATATATGTAATACTATAAGGAAAGGAAACTTGGTGGTGTTCTCAACTTCTGTGTTCCTTACCAGAAAGTTCATTATTTTCATCCTTCCTGAGATGGAAATTCTCAGCAGGGTAGTTAGAACAACAAACAAACACGATCTGAGTTTGTATGTAGAGCAGAATTCAAGAAAAAGTTATTTCCTCCTTCCTCCTTCTAGCCCTGAATATGAAATTTAAAACACATAAGTGCTATTTTTTTTAACAGTTGGAGTACATTAGGTTTCATGGTAGAGTTCCGTATTTCTAGGGAGGCTGTTACAATGAGATTTCTCTTATATTTGTGAGAAACCAAAACATTGATTACATCTCAGCAAAAGGTGGGGTTTTTTCCTTACTGATTTGCTGCATGGGGAAACATTTGAGCATGGGTCTATCTCAACCATCTTGAAAGTGAAAAGCCTTATGTTTATCCCAGCTGTTGTGGGCATGATCTTTGTGATGTGAATACTTACAGAAACCAGCACAGAACAGAGAAATGGGAGAAAGGGCAGGAAACGCTGCTGAAACTTAAAAGGAAAACCAAGCAAATGCAGAAATATGTGTTAAGCGGAAGGATTCACGCCTTTTATGTTGTTAGAGGTATAGAAATGGAAGGATAACTTAACACTTCGTTTTCTGGTAATGAGCACACACATAGAATCAGAGAGAGAAATGTAGTATGAAAGTTTCTTTTTCATTTGCATCGGAATTATTCTTCTTGAAGCCAATAACTTATTTAGTGAACCAGAATGTCAGCAACAAGCAGTTGTTTTGTAAGGCAAATAACAAGCTGTGGTTGCTCACGCTTGTGTCCCATTTTCCCTCTCTCTTCAACCCCCTGCAGTATAAGGGGGGGTAGCAAATACATAAAGCAAGTCTAATACCCCAAGGAATTCTGGCTAATGCATTTCTGTTGCGATAGTTTTAAAGGAAAGTGTGAAGTCTCCTACCAAGTTACAGTGATACAGATGAGCTTGCCTGAGCTTGCAGTGAGAGTAGATCTAAAAGCTGCGGAGTTTTGAGGGAAGGTCCAAGTTGGGTTCCATGCCGTTGGCCTGACTGGATTAAAGATATGGGAAGTTTATGGCTGACCTGGATGTTGCACCGTTCGTCTCCAGTGAGATCAGTGCATACTGAATGGTTGGGTTGGTAGGGAGGGGTCTGTGTGGAAAGTGTTTGATGGGAAAATGTGTACATATAGACAGGGCTGAAATTCATGTCTATGTGTACCCAGCGTGTAAGGAATCATTACCTAGGAGCACCAGGTGTTAAGCTCAAAATCGTGTTTAAGGGCAAAGAGGAAGCATGCCTTATATGTAAGCAAAGCCAAGAATTTCTTGTTACTACAGTTGAAATGTGAAGAATCTAATAATTATTAATACAGATCTAATTGCTACAGAAAAAGAAAGAATGACAGTGCAGTGAAAATATTATACACACTGCTGGGTTTCTCCTCCTTTTCTCCTCCTGCTCACCCTTCTGTGGCTCCCCTGGGTCTGGAGGTTGGCGGTTTCATTCTGGGGTGTGTGGGGTGTCACAGCGAGTTGTCAGCATGTGGGGCTCTTCACTGGGACAAATCTGACATTCGTGTGGATGGTGTCTTCTTCCTTGCTCCAGGATCCGTGCGGGGTCATTTTGTGTTTGCTAACAAGGTTTTACCCTCCTGATCTTTCTTTGTTGGTCTGCAGCTCTGTTACATCCAAATTTAGTGTGTATATTGTGACATTTATGCGTGATAGATACTACTTCTTTGTCCTCCGTGTTATCCCCAAAACCAGTTTTGTGGGGCTCCCGGTCTGCACTTCTTCAACCGACTGTGGGCGAGTTGTTCGCAGGGCCAAGGCTGTGCCCTGCCCGTGCGGCATGCCCGTGCTCTGTCCCCCACCCCGCGTCTCCGTTCCCGGTTACACAGGTAGTTAGGAAATGGCTGTCTGGAGGTGTAACGTGCTCTTTTGGGGTAATGGTTTGCGAGGGTTGTTGTAGAGACGAACTGGCCCACTTGTTACTGTGGACCAGGTTCCTCTCAGAGTGCTGGGTATCAGTTGACTGGTGATATTTAAATTTGTTTGTGAGAGAAGGATGAAGCTAATAACCAAAAAAACCCCCCTTTTGTTTAAATTGGACAACCTGGAAACCTCGTTGGAGGACTTTCTGTGGAGTTAATTAATAATTTAGCATTAAGAATTACTCTGTAATTACTCATGATTGGTTTTGGTAGCAGATGCTGGCTGATCAGTAGCGGTTATGGAGAGCTGTGCTTATTAGGATTATTTTGGGTTGGGCCCCTATTCCACAACCGTGCGTAGGGCTGCAGGAGCTGCGGGTGCCCGGGGCGCTGACGGCCGGG